CATGTTGGTAACTGTCCTAAGAGATACTCCAAAGTTCGATGAAAGCGCTAAGCAAGAGACTCGTTCTCTATATCTCGACAGTATCACTACTGGCTAGATTACCTGGTTGAAGCTAAGCATCTCGAATTAACGAGTAATTGTGTCGTACAGAGGCGAGAGGTCCCGAGTCTCAGGACTTGGCCTTCTTAGTTACAAACACCCCAACAGTCACGTGAGGGTTCAGCCCTAGCCCTATAACCACCTTATTCTTCAGGCACCAACGGCACGGGGAGGGCCGCCACGCGCTTTCCACGAGAAACCAATCAAAGTCACCGAGCTTTACTTGGCTCGATTCAGATCGGCTTCCGAGGCTCATTACAGTATCACCTCCACCAACTCTGTACCTACATACAGGGAGATCTTATACAATACTCATGCTTTCGTCCTTCGTTGATCTGCTATAATCTTGTATCAGCATGGCTATGAACAAAATCCCAGGACACGATATCTACATCGGAGGGTCAGTCCAGCTTGCCCCTCCCGCAATAATAGAATTTTATCGTGCCGCTTGAGCTTTCCCATGATGCGGGGCCAAGAAGGAAAATAAGCACCGGGCTCGAAAGCAATAAGATGAAAACCTGCTAACAAATAGAATAACTTGCAGTATCCTAGCAGTCAAGAACAAGGCGGCTTTGAGTAGAGCGAACATTACACACATAGTCTCGGTGCTACGATTAAATCAACCTGATGAGACTTTTACCAACTTCCAGCATCATTGCATTCATGCGGACGATGTTGGAGATGAGAATCTCTTGGAACATTTCCCATCTGCCGTCAAGTTCATCCAGTCGGGATTGGATGCTGGAGGCAGTGTGCTCGTACATTGGTCAGTAAATATTGCGGCTTCTGAGTTGTGCCATTTATATTCGAAGTCTTACTGACAACAACCAGTGCAATGGGGAAATCCCGCTCTGCTACCATCTGTATTGCCTATCTGCTCCATCAGCAGCCTAATGCATTGACTCCTCAATCTGCGCTTGCTGTACTGAGGAAGGGCCGACCACTCTGCGAGCCAAACGATGGCTTCATGGAACAGCTAGCTCTCTACCACGAAATGGGATGTCCGGACGATGTCACTGGACATCCGCTTTACAATCGTTGGTTGTATCGCCGCGAAGTCGAAGACAGTGTAGCCTGTGGGCGAGCACCTGAGATACAGTCGGTCTTGTTTGAGGATGAACACCCGCAGAGACCTCAAGAGACCAGCGATCGCACGACTGAGATCAAGTGTCGTAAATGCCGGTTGGTTTTCTTTCTTACTTGTCTTATATTAGACCACTATCTGATAGACTTTTCAGGCGTACACTGGCCACCACGCCATTCATCATACCACATGGTCCACGCAATAACAAGGCGACCGAATGTGCTCACATCTTTCTCCATCCGCTAACGTGGATGCGACCATCTCTTTTTCCTAATACCACTGCAGACTCCGAAGCGTCAGAATACGGTTCCCGTCCCGATGATGCGCCATTGTCTGGCCGCTTGACGTGTCCAAATACAACTTGTGGAGCTAATATTGGAAAATTTGCCTGGCAGGGTATGCAGTGCAACTGCGGTGAATGGGTTGTCCCAGCCATCGGTCTCGCGAAAGCCAGAGTCGACATATCTGATCGCTTTAACATAGCGCGTGGGCCAGGTGGTCTGCCGCCAGCTCCTTTTGGGATCCGCCTGCCACCTGGCATGAGACCTGCTCCAGATGATTCAGGGGCGGGCCGCGGCAATCTTTGATGTGGTCCTCAGAATCTAATCCACCAGCGTCTCAACACAAATGATTAGCAAGGGATGAAACCCTCCAAGGACATTTGGGCGCGTCGCCACGTGCCCGTCACCACCTTTAATCCAAGACTCGGCATCCTTATGTGTCTGGGTTACGTTCAGTTTACGTTAGCAGACCGAGTCATACTGGCATTAAGAGCAGTCCCGGGTCACCACTCTTGGAATTCAGGAATGTCCTACTATGGACACCACCGATTTCCAAGTAATTGGCGGGACATTGATGAGCTGAGTAAGATAAGGCGACCGTCAAATGAAACCATCCTTGAGACCGTCTAGATTGACAGTGTCGAAGAGGATCGGCCCTCGGCGAGTCCAAGGAGTCGATTGGGTTGTACAATGGTGTATTTGGCCCACGAGAACAGGATATTCATTCCTATGAGGGTGGGTAGCAGAAGTTGTCAGACAAATATGCAACGTCAACCAAATGATGACTCCAACGAGCTCTTATCCACGTCTTGATTTCATCATTCTGGAACCCCTTGCATTAGGATGCATTAGGATGCATTAGGAATAGCGGTCAACAAGCAAGACAAGGAACACATGGTAATCTCATCGCAATTCGCAAGCAAGGTATCTTGCAAGAAGAATCTTCAGTTTGGATCTACGAAATTACGTTTCTATCGTCAGGTGTCTCGAAGGACCCTTATGCCGATCGTTCTGTGGAGATTGTTAAAATGAAGCGGCCTGTGCTAAAAGTCGGACCTTACGCTGAACCTTATGATGCCTTGACCTTGGAACAACTAACAAGGCTGATGATTCGCCTTTTATCGGAATGCCTGTCGATGAGTCTGATTGCTCTAATATAAGTTGGCACTTTTGGGACCAAATCGCTATAACAGCTTCCTTCCTAAAGACAGCTAGTATAAAACGTTGGTCAACGTTGGTCAATAATGTAAGATCCTCTACATTTGTTGCGCAGTTCGAGTCTTGAGCTTGTTTCCGCGAACTCTGTGTGATGGAGCAATTTCCAGTCGTCCTGCGAATGGTATACTTTACCAGAACCAGGAACCTAGCTTGCCTTATGTCATCGAACCAAGGGCCCAGCGGCTAGTGGCCTGTGCCGCCTGTCAGCATTCATCCAGGATTCAGGGCTTAAACCCACATCTCCACGAGGCTGTTGGAGGGGCCTAAGGCAGCCCCATCTGAAATGGACAGAGCGACCAATGACTGTTGCGCACAAGTCCGGGATCTGCGGCAAGAGAAGATCAAAGATGAAATGACATTCTAGTTTACTACTACCTTCAGGGAGATACCGTAAATACCTCTCTAGATGGGTACAGAGAAATAATCAACCTTAAGCCAATAGTCAGCCTTATCAGCTAAAGCCTTCTTGTATGCTGTCAATACTGTTACTGCATACCCGGCGATGATCATATTTCAAGCTCTTAGTGATACACTACTCTCCGGAGTAGGAATGTTCCGTAATTCCGTTGCTGGATCTCTAGTGGTTAGACTGCTGGTAAGCACAAGTTAACCCCTGACCGTGGTAGGCTAGCAGGGCCTAGGCTAATGTGGGCTGCAAAACTAGCTTCGGCACGGGGGCTGTGCAAACTGCTCTTACGCAACTGAACGCACCAAGACCCATGGACCTTATTGTTTGCAATTTTTCTGTCTTCCATTTCCGCGGGGTTCCGCGTTTCAGGGGCTGTGGGGCTGTGTGTATTGTATCTGTGTATTTTTCATTTCCTACCTACCTTGGGTAATTGCTTTGTATGTTTTTTTTGGGGGGTGTTTCAACTGGTAGACAACAGCATAAGCACTCCGCGATCCTCCATGTTATCCTTGATTGATCTCATTATTCTGCGCCCTGGGGAGGGAGATTTACATACAGCTGCTGCACCTCAGACCACTGGGGAAGAAAGCATGATGGAGTCACGGACCAAACAGCTATCAACTATAAAAGTGGAATGCAGGTTGGCCATCGCAATATGTCACCCGTCTGGGCAGTATTAGGGAAGGCCATACTTGTCAGCCAGTCATCTCTGCCAAGGAGATGCACAGCCTACCTGCTTTACGGAGCAGGAAGCAGTCCACTGCGCAAGCTGTATGTACTTCAGTAACTTCACTCATTTCAGGAACCAGGCGGCCAACCCAGATCGAACGGCGAGGCTATTTGAGCTGCATGTCTCTTTCTCCTCTGTTTAATGAAAAGTGGCAGTTGATTTATCTGAGGATGACGTCACGCGGTAGATTTCGGAGATTGTAGATCGATATTTGCAGGGCTGGCCGTTTACCCTTACAGTTACATCAGGGGATTGATGATCTCCTGATGCTGGGCAGAGTATCATGAGCCTAACTGTAGGCACGGCAGGCTCCATTGTTACGACCTGTTCAGGCAACCGGCATACCTGGCCCCTCCTCGTCCGACGTGCCGGCCCTGGTAATCTTCGCCGATGTTGACATCCTTGTATTTGATCAGGCGACAGACCGATTGCTACTCAGTGAGGGGGCTACTCTTCTTCAGACTGGCGTACAATGAGACTCCGCAGAGAGTGGATAGCGCAGTAATTGGCGCAGCAGATCAAAAGTTGCGTCCATATAATTATCAGATTGCAAGGTAAGGTTCAAGATAATCTCTGCAACGAACTGCTGCCGACCTGACCGGAACAGGAGATGTGGCAAAATCCGCCATTCACACCTTGCTTATGCCATGCTGAGACCAGAAAGATCAGCAGATACTCTGTCATAGTAGCCGAACATACCGCGCCGTTCGCTTTCTGCAACGGCTTGATCACATCGTGCTTCCATATCCAGGCTAGTGCTTACCACAGTATGCAAAGCCATCTTTCTGGAAAGTTTGTGAGACGTTCTAGCTGCCGGCTGCCGGCGGGCTGTCCGGATCATGTCGTGACTCGGTTATTGCCAATGAATCTGTCTTCTCGGTATTTGAGAAAGCAGGCAGCTGATATGACCGCGGATAGGTTCAGCAGTAGGATGGTGGGATGCTTTTTGGGGTTGCCGCCTTCATTTCAAAATTAATCGCTCGAGCTCAGAATCTGTCAGCGCCTTCACCCTTGAGGCTACCCGCGGATCAGGTTTCATTTGGTGCCAGCCTTGCCAGGCATGAAGGATCTGCATCCTAGTCCGTGCTCCGCAAACGTCTACCGAAGAGTTTCAGCGTTCAACGAATGGATAGATAGCTTCTATGCATCAAAAGAAACGATGAACATGACTGTCACGCATCAAAGATCGCCAGATGGGACAGACGGGAAGAGAGACGGTTCTTGCAAGCGCTGACGATTCCGCTTGGTCATTTCAATATTACGCTGTCTGTCGACGCGCATCTGGTAGAAATTTCTGTCCAACCTTAGTTTAGATCAGGGATGACGTGGTTAGCTATGTATCCGGTTTGGGAATAGACATACTTATGCAAAGCGAAAATACGAGGCGAGTCATTCATAGCGGACGACGAAGCGGACTTTGTGAGAGACTCGATCTGTCCACGTCAGCGAATCGTCTTAATTATCCCAGTTCCAGATGTAAGAAAGAAGGCCATATCTACCTTCTCATCTCTCTCCTTCTCAAGTGACTTGGCGCCGCTGTCGCCCTCCTTGTCCGATTTCTTGGGTTTCTTGTCTGAATCCTTCAACTCGTCATCGGCCTTCTTGTCCTTCTCCTTTTCCTTCTTCCGTCGCTGCTTCTCTTCATACTCCTTTTTCACTATCTCTATTTCCCGCGCCAATGCTTCCTGCTTTGCCTTGGCTGCTGCCTGCTCCGAGTCCACGATGGGAGAGCAGAAATGCCTATCTTGTAGATGGACAGGGCAGACATAGAAGAAATCCTACGTAGTCAGCGGAATCCCAACAAGAGCGCGTAAAAGATGACTGCATCTCAAAAGCAACGCGGAGCCTACCTTGTTGTCTGGTGTAATCAGAACACTAGTGGAGGGTTTGTAGCAAACGAAGCATGCTTTGGCGGCAGTATCGGCCACCCGACGTAAATGCCATACATTGGGGAGTGACATTGAGGCTTCCACAAGAGCTTGAGTCTATAAGGTGTTTAACTTGTACGTATAGAGTTAGGATTCAAATGTTTGGCTACACAAACGAAGGAGATTCTTCGCAGAGGGAGACAAGTTTAGGAGCGATTGTTGATCGCTGGTGCGGAGTAACGGATGTCATGTGACTAACTACTATATCCGTTTGGCGTTGTTCACTTGCTGCAGAAGTTCCAATGACTCGACAATATTGTCTAGCCGTTGGTGTGTTTCCATCACTGTAAATACAAACACTATAAATTCCGACGAACGCGCTCTGCTCCAATGAAAATCTCTACTCGGTCACACTATCCTTGATGTTGCGAAGAGTGCTGGGCTCCCTAGAACCAGTCACCATGGCGGCAGCATTCTGTGCTCGTCTGCGCGCATCGGTCCAGAGCATAAATTCACCATAAGTTCGGGGCATGACCTGAATGTCTTTCTCGACCAAGAAGGTATAGTTAAATTGGCCCGTAGATTTCCTGCTGCCGTGCTCCACGTCCCTCACTTTGGAGTCGACGCGGACCTGCACTTTGGTGTATGTGGTGCCGTCTCTCTCCAAGGGTTCTGTGTGAGCGACCGTAGCCCGTAGGTACAGAACGCTTCCCACAGGCACAGGGTTCTCGAAGGTGCTGGGATCCAGGGAGATGAAGTTGGGACGGGCATGGGAAAAAGAGGCGGCGCAGCAGAATGCCAGTTCGAAAGTCTGTTTGAGGAGAAAGCCACCGAAGATCATAAAGTTGTGTCGGTTGCGGTCCTGCGGTTGCATAATCATGGCGGATTTCAGTACCGTGTCGCTCATGAAAACCATATTGTCAGGTCTTTGAGCAGGTGATTCGGGATCTGTTGCCGCATCAGTGTCAAACGTCATGACAGATGAAGGAATTATGGTTACTCACTCAGATAGGACATCTCCTTCGTCCACATGCTATGTATCAGATTACTTTCTTCAGCGTCAGGCGCCTTCTCCAGGAGACTCCTCGTTCTCAGAGCCTTCTTGGCTTGATAATTCTCCTCGCCCTTGTGGAAGAGAAGACGTTCCTCCGCATTTTCCACAAGCAAAGGTGCAATAGGAACGGGCCTAATGGGAATATCAGTACTGCCCCTCGAGATCTTAACACTCAGCACTCACTTCTTGGTGGCGGGATCAAGCGACACCATGGTAAAGGCGCAGGTAATTAGGACATCCTCCGGCTTCACCGGTTCTCCTTCTGCAGGGACCTTGGTCACTTGAAGGGACACCTCCATGCTTGATCTCCCCGTGGCATACGTGACCTGACCGCTCAGCTCAAGATCACAAATCTCCATTAGAGGATGCTCAATGGTAATTCGATCCACTGCCGCCGTCACAGTAGCTACCGACTCACCGGCGTGTTTGTACGCGATGATGCCCGCCAAGGCATCCAGGTCCATCAGCAGTGATCCCAGTCTATGAGAGGAGCCATTAATGAGTTATGCCCCACAGAAATAGGACACACAACCGTACCTGATATGTCCCGAAGCATTCAGGTAAGAATCAAGCAACCATTTGTCTTGACTCAGGGGGAGGATCTAAATGATTACCCTCGGTCACTCCATTCGCATTCGTGCAAAACAAACAACATACGAAGTGGGACTTACGGCGCTGTAATAACTATCTGACATTTTCTTTGGTGTCAAGTCTGGCTTTCCCTGCGCACGAGGTGTCTGGCTCGACTGTGCATCCTCGCGACTCTTCGTCAACGCCTCGATCCACGGTGTCTTGACGCGCATGGGCATCCATGTCGGCTTGGAAGAAGCGTTGGTCACTGCGCTGGGATGAAAATCCCTGCACGAGATTAATGACTTTGTTGATGGATGCTCAGCTTTTACGCGAAGAACACTTGTGCTGGCTGTGTGTGGTGATAGGCATTTTGCCTGTATAACAACTGATCTTCGCGCACTGAGTCTGAACATGATGGAAAGTGAAGACGTCAGAAGTACCTGATCCCTGCGATCAGTAGAATATAGCAGTATATGTATAGATTGATGAACCGATCTAGACCAACACCCCTGTTTGACTCCTTGGTTTTCGGAGTAGGGATCAGTGTACAGAGTAGTGTCGGCTCAATCGGTTGGGTTCCCGAGGCCGTTTCCGCCCGGATGAAGTCGGGGCAAACAATGACATATCCCTCATTCATTACTTTATAGAATCTGTATTAGGGTTCAAGATTATGGAGATCTAAAGAGCTCTCACATAATAGACCCCAAAACACTTCCGTGCTCACCGGGATGTATGTTGGTTTGTTGAGAATGTTGTTGATGGTTGATTGTTGACTGCAGGTCTGTTGACATCATCGGGATCTAAGATGCCTGAAGCATTCGGCATCAATTGCGGTCGAGTATTTACGAGCACAATAATAATCTATGCACGGCTCCAAATGGTCACTACTAGTAGAGAGGTATTATCAACCCATATGCTTCGTTCCGGCCACTGTTCCTGCCTTCCAACTGCTCCACCCAGGCCAAATGAAGTCGATCATCTCTTTCGTCCGAGAATGCGTCAAAATGAAGTCATTGATAACGGTGAATTTGGGGGGGTCCCGTGTCGAATTAGACGACTTGATACGATTGATATATCAACGAACCGGCCTCTTATAATTGTATGAGCACTCTCTATTCTATTACTGTACCATTGATGTGCTAGATCAATCAGCCGACACGATGAGTGACCCTGACAATCCCAACATTGAGCAGAGATCAACGCCCCAATGGGCTCTCTATCAACGGGAAAACTTTTTGAAAGCAAGAGAGGGCAAGGCTGTGCCTTTCAACACTGGTATGTATGCTCTGGCACAGAGTACAGCATCGGGGGGCACGAATTAAATTTCGAGTGTAAAGATCCCAGAAAACTCGAAGAGCTAGCCCGCGAAAAGCTCAGCCAAGGTGGCTGGTATGTCCCCAAGGCTGGATCTGGATGGATGAACCGGACACTAACGCACTCCACAGGTACTATGCCTCCTCGAACGCGGGCATGTCTAATACCCATCTAGCCAACCGACAAGCCTTCTACCGCCACCGCATTGTCCCCCGCCAGCTCGTCGACACCAACCTCCGCGACACAACAACCGAGATCTTCGGCCACAAGGTCTCGGCACCCATCGGGTTCGCCCCCATTGGCATCAACAAGATCTACCATCCTGCCGCTGAGATCGCCGTCGCCAAGGTCGCGCACGAGCTCAATCTCCCGTACTGCCTCTCCACAGCCGGCAGCACACCGATCGAGAAGGTCGGCGAGGCGAACGGATCAGGCCCGCGTTTTTACCAGCTGTACATGCCCCACGATGACGAGCTGACGCTCTCGCTGCTCAACCGCGCCTGGAAGTCCGGATTCGACGTACTGATTCTCACGACGGACACATGGCAGCTCGGCTGGCGTCATGACGATGTCGCCAACTCGAATTATGCGTTTTACCGCGGCATTGGCGCTGATCTGGGGCTTACGGACCCAGTGTTCCAGAAGCGCTGTCAAGAGGCCGGCATAGATATTGAAAAAGACGTCGTCGCCGCTTCGACCAAGTGGATCGACTCCGTCTGGCATGGCCGCGCCTGGTCCTGGGAGACAATCCCCTGGCTGATCGAGAAGTGGAAGTCCATCTCCGGTGGTCGGCCGTTCGTCATCAAGGGGATCCAGTCCGTCGCGGACGCGAGAAAGTGCGTCGAGTACGGTGTGGACGGGATCGTGGTGAGCAACCATGCAGGCCGCCAGGTTGATGGCGCGATCGCCAGTCTTGATGCGCTGGAGAATATTGTCGACGCTGTGGGTGACCAGATCTACATCATGTATGACTCTGGAGTTCGGGGTGCGAGTGACGTCGTCAAAGCGCTGGCGTTGGGCGCGAAGTTCGTCTTTGTCGGTCGTCTTTGGATCTGGGGGCTCAGTATCATGGGCGATGAGGGCGTGCGCCATGTCATGAAGTCACTGCTGGCGGATTTTGATATCTTGATGGGAGTTGGGGGATTTAATAGTGTCAAAGACTTTGATCGGTCTATACTAGGTATGTCGAGCTTAGTGAAATTAGCGCAGAAAGGTACGGCCGCTGATCATTTCTCAGAGTCTTATCCCAGGTCATACGCCTACATACCGGACAGGGTTCTCTGATATGTTTTGTCAGTACGTGCGTTCAAGCCTTTGGAGACCATTATTGGATGATGTATGTACATAGAGCTCATTCGCTCTTCAAACGCCGGGAGACTCTGGCAATGTCATCTGATATATTACAGATCGTACTCTAGGAACCACTCATGCCATCAGTAAAACTCCTGGATTAAAAAGACAGTATGTGTTATATATAGCTTTGTCGAAGGTACCCCCTCGAAAAAGCGTTCAATTCAGGAGAATGTGCAGTTGTGCTTACGCTGGGTAAGTGATAAAGACCCATCAAGGCGTAACTGGTACTATAGCAGTGTATAGAAGGATGAAAGGTATATAAGCTGGTATCGAAAGAAGCAGATTTGGTGTGGTGGAGCTTGGCTACAGCAACACCATGCAAAGAAGTACCGAAACGGCGGGCCAGTGGACAAATCGAGATACAATACTCGACGCACTCCCAGTATGGACTGCTACGGAGTCGGTCAAAGTCGACCCAGCTCCGTCTGTCGCAGAGGCCGTAGCGACCGTAGTGGTCGGTGAGGTAATAGGGGCAGAACGATTTGCGAAGCCAATCCGATGCTTATCATAGTCGAACACAGAATAGACGTTCTTCAAGAACACATCGCCCAAGAGCCACACGTCGTCCCCGTACAAGGCTTGTCCCACAATAGTCGACACGCACGCCGAACCGTAGTGCGGTCCGACGTAATCCTTAGGGGAGATGTTGTAGCTAAGGCCAGAGAAGCTCACTTGCACCACTGCCGTCGAGTTGCACGGCAGGGTGAAATTCTGCCCCTGTGAGGTCGTGACAGCACCCGGAATGAGGTTGTGCAACACTGTGGCGTCTTTCGGGGGAAGCATGGCGTACGACGTGCCAGTGTCGATGACAGCGGTCTTGTTGGCGAAACGACAAGGTGTACCATTCACACTGGCATCGTCCAAGGGTATCCTCCAGTTATTGCTGTCTCCAGTTGTGTTCGTGTAGACGATATCGCCCGTGAACCTGGTCGTATCCAGCTCGCCAAAATTCGCCGCTCCATCTCTGGCACCATCCGAGTTGCGAGAGAAGCTGAATCCGATGATGTTTGATTTGAGAACGCGTTGCGCCGCGACGGATTCCATGAACGACGGAGTGTTGAAATTGCTATTAGCCGATCGTCCCAAGCCAAGAATACCATCCACAGGATACGATTCGAAATCGGCGGAAGCATTTTTGGCCAAGCCAAACGTCATATTTACATCCAAACCAGCAAGTGAGAGACTGTCTTTCCCAAGGACACCGCTGACCAATCCTGTCCCATACCCGACAGCCCAGTTCAGCGGTAATAACTGGAGAGTCTTTGAAGCAGCTTCACCGAACGTTTCGTGCCGTTGACAGGCCTCAGTCGTGCAGTCTGAGCCAAAGACCCACGTATTCGGTCCCCCCGTATCCAGGACCATCCACATCTGCTGGTCTTGAGAGCCGATCCTGACCGTAGCAAAGTAAGAGAAATCGAGGCCCTCCTGGTTAAGAGCGGCAGTGTTGGGTGTTGTAGGGTCTTCTGCCAAGACAACTTTATAATTGTTATCACGGCGGACAGGAAACTTTCTGAGGCCCAACGTTAAGGATACACCGTTTGAAGAGGACCCGGGTTCGTTGTCTGAGTCGTCTGGCACTAATTTCCAGGGCACGAAACGGCGGGCGACATCATTGCTGGCAGACCCGTCGGTCGAGACCTCGAGGTTAAATGAATAAGGCACAAAGGCTGCAACCGTTGAGGCAAGAGAAATGGTCGAAAGAAGACATTGTAAGAGATGCATGATCCTAGAGGGGATCTATGTTCGTCTCAATATTGACAAAATCATGAGAAGGGTCGATTGCTATGATGGAGACTTTGGAGTACCAGAACCTCGATATATTAGGATTAAATGACGGTAGTGAGAGTGAGTTGAATAGAACCGAATATGCAATGCTTGTCTATGGGGTATTACTGTAATTAAAGAGTGAAATCCAGACAAAGCACGATGAAAGAACAGACGCTGAGGGTGCAGTCTATAGAAAGGGTATAAAGAAAGCAAAATGAAAGAATTCTCAACGGATCAAAAGACCTGCACCCTGTTGAGCAATATAATGAGAGCTCATTGCAAAGGTGAGAGATGAGAGATGCAGATGAAGATGAGAGATGAAGTGCATGTTTGCAGCAGGTGGGCAGGTGCTTGATGGATAGGGGATGTTCTCCACTAGCAGGTCAAGTCTTAAGACCCCCTAAGGACTAGAACAAACCTTAGGCAGGTCACTAACTCTTTAGTGCTAGACTCACTAACTATCTCCAGGTAGCTCCACCCCTAAAACAGTTACTCATATTGTCTAGCTCGGGCCCTGTGCAGGCACTAACACTTATTAGTTTTAATGCTTTGAATGAGGCAGGAATCTGTCATACAAGTGGCCAATGACTCTATTTAGTTACTTTATGGGCGCCAACGATCTGCACATTGATGCTCCTCTCAGGATTTATAGTAAGCGGGGAAACCTAAAGATTGCATCACCCCTGACTCCCCTGAGAAGGTATTGCTGATCACTATTCAATAGCAGCCGTGGTTCAGATTTCAAAGTCGAGATACATCCCTCAAACGACGAGTCAAAATCTTTCTCAACCGAGGTTGTCTCGAACAGGAGAGCAGCAAGGAACGCCAAGTCAAAGCCGATCCACTGTATGCATGTTGTGCGCCTTTCAGGCTTCCAGCCCTGCCCAGTCAAAATCTAGACCAGGGCTGAATAGAGACAAAACATATCGAGTTAGCCACAGAACCTACGAGCTGTGAAATCTGCTTTGGTTGCATCTAGCTTGGCGTCATCCTTGGAATCGAGCTGAACAAGGAATACCTTTCTTTTATGCAAATGGTCGAGTCTCATGCAAGAAAGACGACACAGACGCCATCGTCTCCGTCCCATACATTGTCATCACAAGGAGCTGTCTTTGGACGCAAGAGCTGTTTCGGCTGCTTCGATAACCCCACTGATTTGCCACTACTGACGTTTTATCATATATGTTTCTATGCTCTGATATCTGTCACATTGGAGATGACCTGTGCTATTTTTACCATGGCCTTCGATTATCTAAATTATCAGTGTTGCGGGAAATGCTCGAGATTCGAGCCACTGAGCAAGTCCACTTGATACGGTAGATAGTGGTCATTCAAGACTCTCTGGACAGTCGACACGTAGAACATAATGATCCATTTCACAAAAATCATAATTATTCAAGGCAGCAGGATAGTAGTAGCCTAAATCACGTGATATACCGCCAAATTCCATTGATTTCTTGGCGAAGAGTTAATGGGTGTGACTGACTCATGTGACCTTGAATGATGGAATGACATTCTGCCCCTAGATTTACCATGTACAGTTCCCTTGCATTGTCCTCGGAGTAGAGGTGGGTATTTGCTCACATGTGCAGTGGTAAATGATTCGTCATGTTCTCGGTTGATTCCACAGCTAAGAGAAAATAGTGCCTTGTGATCAACTGGTCTTGAAGAAAAGTTGAATGTTCTTCCGCAATTGGAACCTGGGGTAGCTCCTGTTGTGCGCACTGCAGGTATCCTGTATGGAGTGCGTTGGCGCTTCAATCAAGACAGATATTATTAATTATAATCCTGCCACTCTAAGCGTAATGTGATTCTTCACGAAAACTCAACCAGAAACAATCAGCACCAAGATCGTGATGATGATTAGTGGATGAATAGAGCATAACCCGCCTCGGAAGGGGCCGGGAAACCTCCCTCGTCAGTCCATCACATCACCACTTAAGAGACAGAGAATAGCATTTTCTAGAAGACTATCGGTTACTTCTTCAATGCTACCGAGGGCCGAAGGTGGATGATTTTCTGACCTTGGTGGTCCCTTGAAGATCAAAGTTTAACCTAGGTAAATATTAATGGAAATTGTACGTCATGTCCGCTTGCTGGGTTCAATAGGAGCTGCAACGGTGATGGTGGAATTATTTCCTGATCTTGCACTGCATTCAGACGATAGGGAGTATGCTTTTGGAGAGTAAATCTAAATCCACATGAGCCGTGGATTCCTAGAGGATTGATGAGCGTGGTACCGTGTACCTGAGAAGCGAGCGATCATAATACATTTCATTAGATCAGAAATGACAGAAAAGAAGATAGAAGAAATTAAGAACAAGAGCACTTCATCATTAAATCACAGCGCTAATATTCAATACAACGAAATCGTCCATCAGAGTTACTTTCTCTGGGTCTGCTGTTTGGGACCTAAGAGGTCTTCCAGGAATCCGGACCAAAGTTCCCTGACAATACCGGGCTCTTTGGCTTGTGATCCGTTCTGCTGTCTTTGCAGCTCTTCCCCGAAACGGGATCTGCCAACAGTCTCGGTCAAGGAGAAGGGATCAATGTCTATTGAGTGATTATCAACAACCTCACTCAAGGGGCTCGCAGCCACATCTTCTCCGGACACAGTGTAGACCTGCGGCTTCATCGGTGGGTCGGACGTGATCGACTGCTTTGCGGGATCATAGTGCTTGTAGATATCGGAGAGGATCGGAAAGCGTGGGTCCGGACGAGAGGAGGGAGCATCGATCTCCTCCATAGAAGGGAAGTATGCAAAATCGACAGTGGATGAATCTCCAACGGCCTTTGCGGCACGAGAAGTGTTGAAATGACGAACGGAGGGACTGGATATGGTAACAAATGATGTCAGTGCTGAGAGTTTCGATGAGTAACCTAAGTGCGGGCGAGCATACTCTGTAGAAGCGTTGATCCTTTTCATGGCAATGCTAAAGGCACGGGATTGTAGGAAATCATGGTTGGAAAGCCGTTCCACAAGCTGTGAGTATAAGATAGGAGGATCAGTTGCAGCTCATGCATGAGTGACAGGGCTATCTGGTATACAAACCTCGGCCTGAGTACCATTGCTTGCTATCGATCTCTTTTTGCATTCGAGCGTTAGATCAGCCAGAGTACGAGTGGCATAAAACGAAGCCTTGTCGGTTACATTAACCGGTTGAGCGGAGTTTGCGCCAGTGATATGCAAGCTACGGCGAAAGCAAGGTGTAGTGGTATGTTGCCGGGAAAGCACGCGGAGAGCGCGCAATGAAGTTGAACGGGGAGCAGCCATGATGTTAGAAAGAGTTACGGATTCGAGGGTCAGAAAGCAAAAGGTCGCTTTAAAGATGTACTTGTGTAAATGAGTCAGTGAGGTTGCTCGATGGATATTTGTTGAGTTCTGGAATGAACTATGAAGATAGGGCTGGATGGGGTTATGATAAGCGTTCGGGATGAGATAAGGAGTAGAATGATGTGTGATAAAGTGTCGAAGTTACAGGAATTTATTTTCAGAAACAGAGAAGATATATTAAGAGTAGGAGAAGAGAGGAGAGGAAGGAAAAGGGCAATGAATGGCCTGGGGAAAGCTGATATATACTTGAATATCTCAAGGGATCCGAACTCGTTGGGGGGAACGGCATAGGATGAGCTCTACCTACCTTAGATCGTCCTTTTTTAGGTAGCTTCCGAGTGGATACCTGGAACACTGGGAAACGGGGGCGGTCTGGCCAAGTCTGGCTATGCTGACTTAGTGACCCAGCGGATTGTAATAGTAGCAACGACTAGCAACTAAAAAGTGCGGTTAAAGGGATCGACAGCGTACAGAGTGAGTGGTGTTCTGGGAAGGCAGATTTTAAGGTAGGCTGTAAGGGACTCTTTTGTCTGGTTATCAAAAGCGAGAAAAGCAAAACGCAGGGGAAATGATGGGTCTCCTTCAACAGACCGAGATGTATGGGCGATGAGGGGTAGAAATGTGAAATAATGGTGAGGTAGGGGGAAGGGGGAAGTAGGATGGAATCTGCGTCGTACATTTTGTACTACTTGTACCTTTAGGGTCACCGTAACTACACTGTACTCCGTAGATATGTATCCTGAATTTTTGATTCTGCCACTAGCATCGTACTATTTCTACTTTGTTGAAGCGTTGAAGGATGAGACAAGAATTATGCCATCTTCCCCGGTGCCCCGTGGCGAAGCAGCCAATGAATCAGCGCGTGGTTCCATTTCTAAGGTATGAATGCGGAACTACCATTGAGACAGAGAGTTTGTCAGTTGATGATCATCTGAGCAACTTAACTCCGTAGAAATCGACCATCCACCATCCACCATCCTTATTCGGACTTTGTGAGCATCTTCTCCGACTGACCTTCCTTGTCAAGATCTTCCCCTCGTTCTCCCGTCACACCTTACTCTGGCGATGTGTAAAAAATTGTAAACAATTCTAATGCATGGTAAATTTCCGGGGTCCTAGTCTAACGGAATGTATATGATAGGAGACATTACGGTTGATCCGTCCTTCCTTCGACCCGACTCGCATATCCATCGTTAATTGTATGATTGCCCATATCATCGACGCTCTCGTAAGACCCTGCTAAACATAATCCACCCCGAGTTGGTCGAATGCGGACCCATCCTAGGGACACGCCAGCTTGCCTTGATAGTCAGTCGTTTGCATACGCCAGCAAATGTGCCACTAGACTGCAGCAAAATAAAGATGGCAGCGGTAGTACTTTGCACCTGGGAGGGGTACACCTTTAGGACTTGTACAATGTAATAATTCAGTTTCGTCTGGAAATGGGTCTGGTCACATTTGGATATTTCCATGGTGGGTAGGCGGAACCTAGGTAAGATTAACAAAAATGTTGAATGGTCATGTGGTCATTATTAGGAACTTGTCTTCAGAGAGCCTATCTTCACCTCTGAAAAGTCGGGTCCCGGCGAATTCCTGGAACTGGTCTAGCGCTGCTATGTGGAAAAGGCGTCTTCATGAGGCTTGGCGTAATAGTGTTCTGTCAAGCTTCGCTGCTGGGTGTGAGATGCAGGATACAGATACAAAAACATTAACCAGTCTAATTTTATCGGATATTTACTGGCTCTTTTTTCTTATAAGACCCTTATAGTTTACTTCTCTCTGTCTTATAATCAACTCCTCTTCTACGAATCTACTGGTCAAATACCTCGCGTTCCTTGGTCGAAACGAATACTGGGGATTGTTCCTGAGGCATTCTTAAATGGATGTGTCACAAGGCAGGAGAGACAGGGGCTGCATACCTACTTCCACATATGCATGGGCAGGACCTGATGAACGCCATTCACTGTTATCGACCGCGATGGCGTTGCAGTTGCACGCATTGTTGAAAGCTTCCATTGTTGATCAGCGAACTGTTGATTGTGCCAGATGGCAACTCGAGTGCTCCTTTCTTGGATACAGAAGGAGACGGTCCAGGTCGACCAGTCTGTGATCGCAACTGATTTCTAGACTTCAGTAATCAGCGAGAGCCAGAGTATGAGGCACGGTGTATGAATGTCTGGGAACTGACTCACCTCGAAGATTGTTCTATGCTTCTGTGGCATGTTATGCTCTCTCTAACTAGCGGCCTTGATCGTGCTCGGTGATTTTGATGCCTCTCGGAGTCCTAGTCTGTTTGGTTTGAATTGAAGCATACAGCATCCAGCAATGGAATGTCCGAACAGAGCATAATTAGCAGATATATTTTCGCCCACTCATACCGAAAATGCGAATTGAGACTGTGTTATCCCGTTTGAATAGACACGCTAGCTGTATACAGTTGCCAATATAAAGAGTCGCTAGGTTTGTATTCTCGGCTCAGTCACCGAGATTGGTAAGGTACGTATGTCTTGGTATAAGTGGTTTCCGCATCGCTATGTCGTCGGAGCTATAGGTCTTGATCAATGACAGGTATTGTGCATATTGGTAATGAAGCCGATGGAAATATAATGACCTAATGGTGCTCTGGTCATCCTCCACCTTGGGCTAAGCAGGACAAGATATTTTTTTGACTGACGTATCATTAATCATTGGTAGTCCTCAAGAACCGGTCGCTTAGCTCAGTTGGTTAGAGCGTGGTGCTAATAACGCCAAGGTCGCGAGTTCGACCCTCGTAGTGACCATTTTTTGTTCTTTTTTTCCCCGTCTTTTCTTTTTGCTCTGCATGTCTCCTCTGGAAAGCAATATGAGATCTCAATATACTGTTGTTATTGTGGATATTGTTTGAGTCCTTACTGGATATCTGTAGCGTGGTGGTGGTGACGACCAACATATATATATGCGGCATATCCTTGATGCAGACCTATAATAAGTACGAATCACAAGCTAGACTACCGGCTACAAACTGAAGCAGAAGAACAACTATGTCTATAACGTCATGTATCCTGCTTTACCCGTCGTCCTGAATCATTCTCTCGACGAGGTGGCTGTATAAAATACCAAGCAAGGTCCAGGTCTGCAATCGGAACATGGTACTCGAGTGATGCCATTGACAAATGTGTACTATTTATCATAATGGCTGACTGCTCCAGTGTATTACTACTGTATCATAAAATCCGAATGCATGGCGGTGAAGGAAATACCATATTGGATCCCTATCTCGTCAGGTCTAAAGCTTGGCGACTTCCCTGGAACGCCGACCATTTGCAACCGCTCGGGCATACGGATGTGACCGAGAGTCAGGGACTAGATGATCAATATCGCCCGTGTGGACCATATGTGGACCAGCTTCATCAAGTGTCGTAATCCCATTGTTCCGCATCGCCGTCTCCAGCTCATCTTTCATAACTGCAATGGCCGGTTAGCTCATCGGCTTTGACGTGCGGGGCCATCACCTACTGTCTATTAGATGTTCAACTCCTTCCTGCCCGTAATTCGTGGCAAAGAGCATGCTGCGCCCCATGCCAACAGCGGTGGCACCCAGGCAGATGGCTTTGAGTATGTCCGTTCCGCGACGGATTCCGCTGTCCACATATATCTCCATCTTGTCGAAGATCTCTGGACAGCGCCTATGGAGCTCAAGTAGAGTGACTATCGAGGGAGGGCTCGTGTCAAGATTGCGACCACCGTGGTTGCTGAGAAGAATGCCATCTAACCCAGCTTGCATCGCCAAGATGGCGTCATCCGCAGACATCACTCCCTTCAGACACACGGGTAGATGCGTATGCTTCCGCACCCAGACCAAGTCATCCCATGTCAGTCCAGGGTCAATGAAGCCGGCCATAACACGTCCAAGGCCACCGCCCTTATTGTCGTTCTTAGCTCGGGACGGTGCCATGGGGACAGATAAGTTTTCATCGGCTTTGACTCGCTCATCCGCCTCGCGCTTGCCCGGCCATGCAGCATCGACTGTCACAAAGATTGCCTTGACGTTTGGATTGGCCGAGCATTGATGAAGAAGTGCTGCGGATTTCTCTCTATCTCGATTGACGTACAGCTGGAAAAAGAAATTTGCCGAAGGAGCGGCTTCTTTCAGCTGATCCAGAGTGTACGAAGAATTGTTGGAAACCTGTCCAATAATGAGCACTAGAGCTTGACAAGGTGCAATGGGATGGAATTGGGATATAAGATCATGACGTACGCCTTGCATGATACCTTTGCGCTCGCATGCCCTGGCAATCGCGCACTCTCCATCCGGATGGATAAGCTTAGCCATAGCAGCCGGGCTTACGAACAATGGCATGCTACAGTCGACGCCGAGAATCCTTGTTCTTGAATCAACAGAGCGAACGTTCCTGAGGACGCGAGGTCGGAACCATATCCTGTCGAAGCAAGATTTGTTCGCATCGCGAGTGATGAGATCGGTCGAGGCGCTGGAATAAAATGCCCACGTCTTTTTGTTGGCTGTCTTGGACGCTACGAGTTCGAAATCGTATGAGTTGATCAGAGTGTGCAAGGGCGGCTTTTCGTTATCTAGGACGACCTGTGGATTCTCGCTGGGAGGCTGTTTGAGCCATTCTTCATTGATTGCGGACGTGTCGAGGATTCCCTTGTACTTCTCCGGCGGTAGATTTGATTTGATGACACCAGGAGAGTGAACCTCTGAGTAGGCCTTGGTGGCATCACGGCCTGCGTATTTCAGAATGACTGAAAAACGTGAGCTTTTTGAGTTCAGTGACCAGCATAAGCGGTAGGTCTTACTTGTTGACCCTCCCGGGTGTTCCTCCACAAAATCAGTTACGTCCCATACTTTATTATCAACAACGATCCAACAATCATCAGGCGTTTTGTGTTTCGACACCTCTTTAGTGGATAGAAGCTTCTCGCCAGCCATCTTTACTTTCCTGAAATTTGCGCAGATCAGCGGTTTGCGGGACAAAGCCTTTCGAAAACTCCAAGCCACAGGTTATTATACTCGAGCAACTGCAGGAGATGATCCTGAAACGAATATCGAGAGGCCCTGTTGGTTATATAAACCGTGGCGGCATTGCACTTCGGAGAGCTCTCCACAAGGGTCTAATCACAGTGCGGAGAAGCATAGGCGTTAATTGTTGAATTTTGCTCCACAGCGGCCTAGTGCCGCGTTTGGGGGGTTCACAACTAGCCCGAAGAGTGCTGGAAAGGATGAACACTTAAGGAAGGGCTGGAGGATCCACGAATCAAATCGTCAAAGTTGCCTTGGTAAAATTCGGGATCAGAAAATACCGTAAGTGCTATCGGTTTGTTCTCATGAATGATATTTGATGCCTCAAGTAATCACGAAAAAGGTGGGTATCATTTGCTTCCAATGTACTCCGTATGTCTGGTAACTCAGCAGAGACGTATACGAAAGAGGCAACCCCTTCAGTTGCCTTTCTTCATAAAGCAGAACATATACTTCAATTGTTGCAGACATTGACTCATGGTCTTCTCTTGCACCGAACTGCCATTTCTCGGTCGAAAACATCGGGGGCATCACCGACGGAACCAGTCGATATCGGGTTTCGTTCCGGGGAGGGCTTATGTAATTTACCACGTGCATTTTCTTCAGCCACACAGGGGCACAGGTGGTCCGTGGCTAAGCACTACTGGACACAATTTGGAGAAATCTAGCATCATGTATCCCGGCACATGATATGTGATATCTGCTTGCTTCCCAGGAATCTAATATTGCCACCGAGAAGTGCTCGGAGTGACTTCGTACATCTTGAACGAAGTGACTCATTTGTCTGATGAGTGTGACTCACAGCGTAGGCAATATTCTGAAGGCTCTCGGGAATAGTAAATGTACCTCTTTCCTCGGTTGCGTAGGATTCAGGATCAGAGAAAAGTCCCTCAATCTACACTCGCAACTGCCTCTCAGTTGCCCTGAAATTTACACAGGTATGTTTAGAAGGTTAAATTCAATCCCACAGTGGAAGGAATGCTCTTGTGCTCGATTAAATGGATTGGAAACCTCAGTATTGCACTTTGGCTCACGACAAATGCAGCCACAGGGAGTAGTCTGCTGAAGCCAGGACGTACATCCTCTTATTCTCACTTGAACGACAAAAGATATTACTGTTCTGCTATTCCGAATAAAATACCGGCCAAAGTCAAGATGTGTGATTCTAACAAGCCCTTGAGATATGTTGATGTAAGTGTCTCTTTACAAGCATCGCAAATCTCCAATAGCTTCGCTAAAATTGACTGCTTCTAGATTGGAGTCAACCTTGGTGACCCTGTATTTCGAGGAGAATATCACGGCAGGCAGGTTCATGATAATGACCTTGACGATATCATTCAGCGTGCCCGCGATGTGGGGTGCACAAAGTTCATGGTGACTGGTTCAGATCTAGTAGAATCTCGGCATGCTATTCAGCTTGCTCAAAGTTACCGTAAGTTGCACACAACTTCTCTGACCCATTTTTTCTTTGTGTTGTCAAGCCTAACAAGCTCGGCTGCCAGCCGGTTTCTGTTACGCAACTGTTGGTGTTCATCCGTGTCAAGCAAAGCTCTTCGATGAATTTCCTGGCGGTCCAGATAAGGTGCTGGAGGAGCTGAAATCTCTGGCGCTGGAAGCAAAAGAAGCCGGGCATGCTGTTGCATTCGGTGAAATCGGTCTGGATTATGACAGACTGTTCCTCAGCGCCAAAGAACCTCAGCTGAAATATTTCGAAGCTCAACTGGATCTTGCGGTGGAAATACAGCTCCCGCTCTTCCTTCATTCCAGAGCCGCCAGTGAGGATTTTGAGAAGTTGCTAGCTCCCAGACTGGGGAAACTTCCCAAGAAAGGCTTGGTGCACAGTTTTACAGGGACAATGGAGGAGATGAAACGGATGGTGGCACTGGGTTTGGACGTCGGTGTCAACGGATGCAGCCTGAAGACGGAGGAAAACCTGGAGGTGGTGAAAGCTATCCCACTTGATCGAATCCAGATAGAGACAGATGGTCCATGGGTATGGAGTTTTCATCTCCCTTGCAACATCCTTACAACCTTCCCTCTCTGACTGACGTGGTATCATTTAGTGCGAGATTCGGCCCTCCCACGCATCTTCTAAGTACCTGGAGGGTGCTCCCGCATTGCCCAAGGCAGTCAAGAAGGAGAAATGGCAGAAAGGCCTCATGGTCAAGGGCCGCAATGAACCCATTGCGATAGCCCATGTCGCCCATGTCATCGCTAAATTAAAAGATATTACGGCGGAGGAGGTTTGCGAGGCGTAGGTTATTCGGACTGAGACTTTTGGCCACTAAGAAGCTGACTTCTTCATACTTAGGGCTTGGAATAACTCGATAAGAATGTTCGGACTCGGAGAGGACGTGTCGTAACTCTTTGCTCTCCATGTTTTGAAGCTGCTCACCGGAAGGGGAGGGAAACAGTTGCTTGGGATTTGTTAAACCCGGTCATTCTGTCCATACCCAATCTTTGACCTCGATAGATAGAAATGCTTGCAAGCGTGTCAATGAACTTTGCTTCCAATGTTCACGGCCAACAAGCTGTCTGATTCAAACTGACCGAAGCTCTTCTTATTCTGACGTTTCAGGCGTCGATTTACAAAGTTGGCACCGTCTGACAAAGAACGCAGTCCATTTTTCAATCACCACGAAAGTGACTCAGCAGAGAAGTGACTTCAACTGCGACTGTTTGCTCCTGCCATGATATTCTGAGTCTGGACTATAACAGACTCAATATGAGGTCATCTTTGTTGAAGCAATATGCCGTGACAAGAGCTGGTAGCTATGTTTTTCACTTGCAATTGCTGAACGCCTTCAGCCAGATTGTGTTTCCTAGGCTGCAATCTAGGTCTGTTTCATGCCAGATATCTCAGGTCAAACTCGTGCTAGCGCGGTTTTGTCAATCTGTGCCATTCACTCTGTTGATATCCTCCCCAGTAGCTCACCGCCCATACTGCTTCAACAGTCTATGTCTCACTGTCTTTGTTGTTGCTATTGACAAGATAACGAAGATAACCTACTCACTGATCTATTCTCTTCCTCGCTTATCCGTCCTGCCTCTTGACACTCTCGAATACCTCCATCATGGCCTCTCTTCAAGCTCTTTTGTCTGACTGAACACCGGTTCATCGGGCAATCGACTTTCCATCCTTGGACTCTTCCATAGAGCTGACGTCCCGTCTCAAGACACTCTTAGAATCCGTCTTGGAACCTGATCCAGATTTCTAGGTCGATAAACACGTCTCAAAGCTTGTCGTTCTGTATCCGCCTGTCTCGAAGCATATCACAGGCGCTTGACGGTTCCCTTAAATCAAGGGAGCGTTGAGAACACCAAGACGCGTCAAGGCTGCACTGAATTTCACCTGTCTCAAAGAAAACATTACAATGGCTACGCCGCTTAGTGAGAAGTCTTCCAATAGCTCCCTCAGGGGTAAAGCGGGTGGGTATCCTTCGCTTTGTATATTGACGTTTACAGCGAAATGTTTACTGATTAGACCGCGTCGAGCAGGCGAAAGGACTCGTCTTAGGGAGACATCGTTGGAATCCGAGGTCGTCCACACTGAAAAGTTGCCTCCAAATTTCGGAGAGGTTGTCAAAGGGGTCTATAGAAGCTCTTTCCCGCAACTTTGGCATTTCCAAGCACTAAAGAAGCTGGGCCTCAGGATGATTGTGTAAGTTGCCGCCATATAAGATCATTACCCCTTGCTTACGCTTGTCCGTAGTACGTTAGTCGAAGGGGAATACACTCAGGACCACCAGGTCTTTCTCAAAGAAAATGGTATAGAGCATCGTCGCATCCTTATCCTGGCAAACAAGGATCCCACGGTTCGAACTCCGGACCATGTTGTGAATCGAGTCCTGGAAATCATACTGAACAAGGCAAATCACCCACTCCTTCTACACTGCAACAAGGGAAAGGTGAGCGCAGAGGCTGATAAGACGGATTCGACATGGCTAACTAGACTTGATAGCATCGGACTGGATGCATTGTCGGCTGCTTTCGGAAGGTTCAGGGCTGGGACATGCCAGCTATTCGCAAGGAATACATTAATTTTTCATGGCCGAAATCGAGGCCCCTCGACGAACGATTCATTGAACTTTTCGACGACACCAGACTCAGACCCCTCGCTGTTTCTTCTGGTGCAAGCTCATGGCCTGCCGGCGTAATGCTCAATCCGCTTCGCGAAGAAATAGTCGAGGACGAAAATACCCCGAGAGGCAGTAGACATTCTTCTGCCAGTGTATTTCACAAGTCCGACGCTATGTGATGAATATAGAGCACTTTACATGCCTATCACACTATCTGATGAAGGACTGGATGTCTTCGACGAGTACGACTTCACCGATATCGAAACAATTTGACTGCATGGAGTACGGAGCACTAAGGTGCATTGGGACGGCGCATGTTGACTTGTAATTGACCGTGATCTCTCTGTCACATACCCTACACTTGTTGACTGATGCTACAGTGGCGTGTTTGGTGTATGGTGTTGCGAATGGACAGTAATTCGGGCTGATGCTATGAATTAGGGTGCAGTTTTGTCTTACTTTGTCTGAGAATAGATGGATAATCGATGGCTGCACTGCTATCTTCTCTTATTATCTTAATAGAACACACTGAGTATACAATCTCTTTGGCTAATTTGGGATACCTTTGATTGAGAACGCGGCCTATCGGGCAATTTGAAAAGCGTAATTTTCCAGCACTCTATGAAGTTAATAATGTATATACGGTAGAAGGTCATTTATGCGGATAGACATCCCGCAGCTCGACGGCCTATTGTACAAATTATACGACACAATTGTGGTCGCACAGCATCAAGTCAAAGTCATCATCGGAAGCCTCACGAGTCCCCGGAAAGCTGGGGCTATAGGGAAGAAGTTGTGGGCTCGTAGGCTCATCTTCAAAGCAGTCAGATGCTAGCATCTCACCATCACTTATGGAAAGGTGGCACGAGAGTTGCTCCGTCAGATTGAGCATAGATATTGTGGTTCTGTTCTGGGTATGGTCAAGTATCGTCTGGTCTTCCCAAATTCGATCAAGTTCGGTATCGTCATGTGCCAGCATGTCAAGTGAATAACTTCCATCAAAAGATAAGACGGAGTTCGTTTCGTCTTCGTCTATGAACTCGGGATCTTCGGAATTGCTTCCCAAATACCAATCGGAATCGTATATCTCGCGGCTTTCACTGTTCAGGTCATCGTGAAAGTCATCCATGCCCACCTCCGACAGAAGATCCTCTTCGGCTCCTCTGTAATGATCGGCGGATGTAGTCACGGCATCTGATGCACTCAATTTCCGCGAAGCCCGGGAATCATATAGTTGCTTCTGGGCAATCTTCCAGAGGGCAGTCTGTATTGCTGCCCTAAAGTCGGTTGACCCTGTTGCCTGAGACACTTCTGTTCGAGGATTATGCAAAGCTTGAAGCTCGTTGATTCTGCTTTGCAAAGTCGGATTTTTCGTTGTCTTCAGAACTGAAGCGAGGGACTTCGCGATCGACGGAATCAAGTGCGATCGCTGGTTCATGGCCTGTGGATGGGGAAATGTGTCAGTTGTATGCGCCATTCTTGGTGAAAGCCAATCCGGAATAGTACCTCACGGTAGCCTAAGCTGAACACCGAAGGAACAATGCGTGCCAGTGGTTGGAGATCCCTGTCTGAGCTCGGAGTGCGTGTATCACCCTCCCGATGTCTTTCGACTATGAGCGATCGAAGGCCTTTCCTGAGCAGTTGATCAAGCTCGTGGTAAGTCTGACTATCGCGGTCTTCCTCCATTCGGTAGTCGTCTTTCATATCCTCAAGCTCCTCCAAGAACAATTTTGTGCTGCTGTCCATGAACTCGTCTACGCAGTCTGTCTCCGTCACAGGAAGCCTTGGGAGACTTTTTATTGCACCCCATTGCTTGGGCTTGACTATAAACGTTTCGGAAGGTATTGGGATTGGCAGCTTCGGCGCTAATGGGAAGTATTCCTGTCTGGCTTGGTTCGAGTCATAGACTTCAAGGAACACGTTTATCGTAGACAAGTATGCTGTGTGAATATTCGCAGGAGCAGCAGCATCCACGTCGTGTTGCGCTGATATTGGTACTCGGCAGATTCTGTTTGACGGCCGTCCAGCCTTTCTTCGCAATCCAAAGGAAAGCTTAATGATCGTTGAATCGTCCGATCCGGAAAAACAGCCGCAGCTTCTGCGCAGGACAGCAAGATCCAAATCTGACCAGAGCTGCAGGGAGTCTGTTAATAAATGGACCGATCACAGCCCTGCTCTTGGTCCGTAATAACGTACTTTCGACTTGCGAATTATATCTCCTACGTGAGAGATGAAAGATGGAACTGACTCAGGGAAATGGGCTCTGGCAGTAGCGATGACATGCATTTTAATTTCTGGTGATTGGGCTATCCATATCAATCCAGAATTTATCAACTTACTCGGATCCTCAGGGTGCCTAGGATCTAGATTTCCTGCAAGAGATATGTCCAACGACGCACGTAGAATCAGAGACAAATCTGAGTTGGAGTGGGAGAGATGAATTGTATCTTGCCCTAGGTCAATGACCAGGGCCATGGTAAATAATGATTCGATGCTTTCGGCAGTGATTGATGATTCTCGTAGCAGTTAGAGAGGAACTGGATAGGAAGGCCTTCTGCGTACCTTAGCCTTCTTCGGGCAGGGGCGGCTGCATTACCTTATCAAAGGAGAAGACATACAGCAGCGGCCATGGTCAGGTACATTATGTATTTATCAGGGGCAACTCATCGTTTTGATTTACTGCTATTTTTTGCATTCAATAAACATACTACTGCAATTAGGCCATGATATAATCCTCCCAGTAGGCTGTAACACTGATTGTTAGGAATTTACTTTACATTCAGAACAGCAGATCTTTTAATAACCATCATAAAAAAGAACATCATGCGTGTGCTTACTTTTCCATTCTACCTACCTCTCGTCTGTCCAATATTGGAAAAAATGTAGATCAAATATGGCCCAAATGTTTAGCAGATCAGCACTGTGACGTGGAAGTATAACTTGTAGATGTGATTGGCTGTAGTTTTTCTTTGTCGCTTATCGATAAGCGCCATCACGTGTGAATCTTTGTGGTTACCTGGCCCCAAACAGACCATCCGTTCATAAAAAAGTGAGGTTACCATGAGCTTCAAAATCAGCAATGAAAAAGGATGAAGGACGGGAATCTCTATTGCTTGACCATTATGGTCCAGATGGAGGAGAATCTCAATCGTTGCTCTCGGGATCTTCGAGCAAAGAAACCGATCTGACAACCCATCCCCTTTCAAATAGTCCTCCCCTGACCTCCCCTTCTGCTCCTCCTGGTTCGCACCAATATCGATCGTCGATATCTCAGCCTGCCTCGGATGGGCAACGTCGCCCTCGTACAATGAATCGTGTTCGGTTTGATATTGAGGAAGAATCGGAAGCGGAAAGTCTTCCGAATGGACACCCTCGCGACTCGGAGGACTCGTGGCTGGAGGAGGAGGATTATGCGCGGCCAAATGCGAGCCGATCGGGAAGAAATGGCAGAGGTCAGATGGTTCCTCTTTTGACGGATATAGAGGCGCCCAGTGTAACCCTTGCGACCTCCGAGGATTTCTTCCCTGAGGATCACCTCGAGAACGCGAGGCCGAGGAGCGGAATGCGGATGGCCTTCATGAATATGGCCAACAGCATTATAGGAGCTGGTATCATCGGACAACCTTACGCGCTTCGGCAGGCGGGTATGACAATGGGAGTTTTGCTTTTATGCGCGCTCACAGTCACAGTGGATTGGACGATTCGCTTGATTGTGGTCAATTCTAAATTGAGCGGCGCGGATTCCTTCCAAGCAACGATGCAGCATTGTTTCGGGAAAAGTGGTCTCATTGCGATCTCCGTTGCTCAGTGGGCTTTTGCCTTTGGCGGCATGATTGCATTCTGCATAATTGTGGGTGATACTATACCGCATGTTTTCAGCTCTCTATTTCCTTCCCTCCGAGACATGTCTTTCCTCTGGCTCCTTACGGACAGGCGAGCTATCATTGTTCTTTTTGTCCTGGGAGTCTCATATCCATTATCTCTGTACCGGGACATTGCCAAGGTGCGATTCTAATACTCTCTATGCAGCGGACGAACATTTCCGAGGCTAACAATCTAGTAGCTGGCTAAGGCGTCTACGTTAGCGCTCATAAGTATGTTGGTGATTGTCGTTGCTGTAATCACTCAGGGATTCCGAGTTCCCTCAGAATCTCGTGGCGAGGTGAAGAGCCTCATTTTTATCAACTCCGGTTTCTTCCAGGCCGTGGGAGTGATATCTTTTGGTAAGTCTGCCTTGCCTAAAGAATCTGAAGTTGTATGAGATTGTCTAACAAACCATAGCCTTCGTTTGCCGTATGTTGCCCACCGCGTATACATAATCCCCAAGACCCTGACTGACCGTCCGAAAGACCACAATAGTCTCTTGATTTATGGTTCTCTCAAGAAGCCAACCATGGATCGCTTCGCTAAGGTGACCCATTACTCAACCGCCGTCTCCCTTTGTATGTGCTTGGCTATGGGTATCTCAGGCTTCCTCTTCTTCGGATCCAAGACCCAAGGCAATGTGCTCAACAACTTCCCATCTGATAATATAATGGTCAATATCGCGCGGCTGTAAGACCTCCTGCGTACGGCTAAAACAACCCTTGCTTAACCTAACATCAAATTGTCCGCAGTTGCTTTGGCCTGAACATGCTTACAACGCTGCCCCTTGAAGCTTTCGTTTGCCGATCGGTCATGACGACCTACTACTTCCCCGACGAACCTTTCAATATGAATCGACACTTGATATTCACGACATCTCTGGTGGTGACAGCTATGGTCATGGCATTGTTCACTTGTGATCTTGGGGCTGTATTCGAGCTCATTGGCGCAACAAGTGCTGCTGCTTTGGCGTATATATTTCCTCCGCTTTGTTACGTGAAGTTAAGCAATGCGAGCTGGAAAGCTAAGGTTCCCGCATATCTGTGTATCACCTTTGGTATCACCGTTATGGGAGTGAGCCTGTTGCAAGCTGTTGCAAAGATGATAAACAGTGAGTTTGGGCCCTTGGAGTTGATCTCCCTTGAAGTCAGATCCGCTAACAGAAGAAATCCGCTGCGTAGACGAGGGTGGCACGAGGACTTGCAGTGCTTAGCAAGTAGTAATGCCTGTCTAAATATACGATTGCACCTTTGATCGGCCCGTAGACGTCTCTCTCGGTCTTGGGACCGTTGTACATATACGAATTACTTCCAAATAAACCAAACTATTACTGATGAAAGGATACTGACATGACAGGAAGGGCCTCGTTGTAGTTTTCAAAAGTCTCCAGTTTCAGGTATTCTTTCCTTCAGATACAGTGAAGCTGATTATTTCACACGTCACCTCTGAAGGCTCTATTGGCATCTGATGTGATCTGGGATGCTCTGAGTATGACAATGAACTTAGACTTATGATCAGAGAGACACAGCGGTCTACATACAATCAATAAAGTCCTTCCATTTTCGTCCATTAGTTGCGTTTGCACTTGACGCCGTAGCAACAAACCACTGAACATCCTCAACACAATTTCTTCTTTGTTATTTTTCTTCTTCTCTTTTCTTTCACGCTCACCTCCCCTCTTTGTTTCTCCGGCACAATTCTCTGGTCTTTGAAGCAGTTCATTGTTCCCTTATCTCGGTTTACTCCCAAACTGCAATAATCATGAAGGGATAGTCATCTTTCCTACAGACTCTCACTAGACTTTGGAAGAGGTTTTGTTGACCTTCGGGTATCCTCTGACTCTGCACGGAGAACTGGAAGATCTTGCGCTACTTGCATCTCAAACGACGGTATTCCAACCCATTTCGATTCTTATCAACAGAGAGTGGTGGGCCCTCTGTTGGCTCCCCTGTTGTGCCTTGCTACATTCACTCATTCTCTTCATCGTGTCTGGATCTGGAAACATACGTCCATTGCACTTTCGCTTACACATTTCCATCCTCGTACGTTCATATCTTGCCGATTTGAGCAAGTCATCATGGACGAAGAGGCAATCGAGCGTCTGAAGAGGCTTCAAATGGTAAGATAATTGCGCCTTATTGATCCCGTCATAAGATGCTTGTAGGAAAGGCTGACTAACACTGAACTGTATATAGGAGGACCTTGGAACGCTTAGAAGAGAGTATATCTCGACTGTTGACACTAAGAAGTTCAGGAATATTCGCTTGGAGGATATCGAAGCCACGCGAATGATAAATGTTGCTGGATCAGACGCTGCGCGTCTGGCCCAAGCGAATCAAGCACGCCTCAATGCTTGGGCAAGTGAGTTTTTCACTATACTAAAGGTTATCCAGATTATTGGCTAAGATTTTGAAAGATGCACACAAGGATTTAGGTGACCCGGCCGATCAAGAGCCTTTAGACCATCTTCTAAACGGCCAGAGCCACCGTCTTGGACTGCGCGCCGTGATAGAAGGGAGCGGTGGCCAGTCTTACACAAAATCCGCCAAGAAGAATGATAATTCCCGTCAGTTTGCAGAACGTGCTCTGAGCGGCCGCTATGCATCAACGAGAGGCTCCAAAACAACCGGCCGTGGCGGTGGTGTCATCGGTACAAGAGGTCGTGAAACAAAGCAGACCTCGCCGAAGTAAGTGATCGATCCCACTAGCAAGCCCATGAATTTGGCCTAACCCATAGATCAGCGCTCAGACAAGAGTCACACACCAAGGCGCCGTCGCAAAGCTGGGCAATCATGTGGTCCAGTCCCCTCACGCCAGGAAGCACCTGCAGGATCCTGCTCTTGATTTTAATAATGAACCGCCGAAGAAGTCTAGGGATGTATCTGGCTCGAAGTCGCAAACAGTTGTTAAAGGTGGTAAGTACGAGCCTCTGCGAGCTTGAAAGAAAGCAACCGATTGACTCTTCCGAGAAGGCGTGAAAAGAGACCTCGTTCTTCTCAAAACAAGACGGCCTGTGTAAGTTCAACAGCCATCGAGCCTTGGACACAATCTGACATTGTGCGATAGTGGCAATACCGATTGGTCAAGAGTCCTCAGCCCTCCTGAGGACTTTCTTTCTATCGCGCGCGATAGTCTGGTCAATGCGAAGGCTTCGAATGTCCCAACAGCTGTTCTTACTACGGGTTCTGAACAAACTCAAGTCACTGTCTGCCAGCGTGAATCACGGGCCGTTGATCACGAAGGTTCCCAATCTATCAGCCAACCTGAGGACACCAATGCGGGCCGAGCATATGAAGACTCCATCGTTTCTTTCCGTTCAGACGGAGACTCAGTGGCAATCGCTACGCCCGTGTCCTCTAATAACGGTCAACCGTCACGGGTAAGCATAGCCCAGGCAGCTCATACAGCGAGTGAAAGAGACCAGCGGTTTGAGCCCAGAAGACTACAATCTCCACAGCAAGAGAAACTGCAGCAAGTCAAATCCACCTCCGAACAATCAGACGACAAAGGTCAAGTTGGGAAGCAAAACCAAGATTACGAGCTGGTTGATGTCTCAACGCCGCCGTCCAGCTCACCTAAAATCGTCCAGAGCAAAGATCTCTACTCTGCTAATGTCCAAGTTGAGGGGAGGACTGGAATTCTCCTTGACTTCAATTCCACTCCTCCAAGGAAGAGTCTTCCGGGCGCGGAAGATAATTTGTCGATGAGCCCAGCCCTGCAAGATTTGGAAGGCATCAATTTTCAAGCCAATGTTGCACAAAGTGTTCTTTCGAGGCCAGAAACCCAGATATACTCTTTCGTTAAGTCCGAGCCAGTCGGTTCGAAGGACACTTCCAGCCTGAGGATCGGAGAAAGCACTGGTGATACGACGATCTCTACGTCTGAGGATACACCATCCGATCTGGCTGCCCTCCGAGAAAAGCTCGCACGCCTTTGCAAATTTGTGGAGGAAACATTGCGCCACCATGTGCCTGAGCCGCTCCGAGATATGGACTTGCAAGCTCTCAGGAAGTACGAACAAGAGCTCAAAGACATACTCTCCTTGCACCAACGGACAGCGAAGGAAACTGCCTCACAGACTGCCGAAAATCTCTCAATTCACAAACCTCAGGGAACAGAAGCTGGAACAACCATGGAAGGAGAACATTCCACGATATTCTCCCTCACACCGTCGGCCTGCTCTCCTCCCGTGGAAGCTTCTCTTGAGGAAGGCAATAGTAGACTTAGTCTACGTTCCGAGGAGACATCTAGTCCGTCTAAATTCAATGTGCAAGCGAAGGAATTCGTCCCAACGGGTGCTGCCAGGAATCCCAGTTTCAGCGGATGGCGTGATACTAAGCCTAGCCCTCCAAGCTCAACAACCTCCGAGTCACGAACTGGACAGTCACAGCATTCTCGCCAGAATAGTCAAGATCATATGCGTATTGGTTCGACTGATTCGTTTTCTTCACGATTTGCATCTCAGCCCTCACCGCGCGGGCGTCAGGCCAGTGAGAATCATATCTTTGGTGATCATTTATTACCCGGTAGGGGAAGACTCCATGGTAAGACACATGGGAGCGAAGCATTGTTGCCGGATAAGAACGCGTTGAAGGGCACGTATTACTACATGTGTGATCTCTACCTAACCATTGCTGACACCTCATTTGAGTAGAGCCGAATGATTCTCGTTCGAAATTGTTGACTCCAACCAAGCCACAGGCCCTTACTGTGCCTAGGGCAAGACCTTCCGTCCCCGAAAGCATAAACACGTATGAAAGATCGGACTCATAATTCATCAACATCACTAATGTGTCGTGCAGTACCGGTGAACCTTCTCCGAGGCCTGTCGCGTTGGCAACCACTGCACCAGGGACTGGATCTAATGCTGCGAAGTCAAATTCAGACTCTGGCCAATCTACTCCTACTCCTTTGCCCAAGGCCGTCAAAGCGGTGTATAGAGCGAATTCGAAGGTGAGTGCTATTTCGCAGGTGAATGCACTGCAACGGTCTATGCATGCCCCAAAGGTGCAAGAGAATCCCACGACCATGAAAAATCCGAGCGTCTCAGCATTCGGCGGCCTCGGAGGCTCGATCTATGCAACCCCCGTGGTGCAAAAGCCTACTGTTGCGGCACCCGAGAATCGCAAGTCCAGTGGCCTTCAAGGCTCGAGATGGGCAAGCCCTGAGACTCAAAAGCCACTACGTTGATGATCGCACACAGCATGAATTGCTTCATCTGAATCTGATTGTATTCTCTGACTGATATTACCTTTTTTCCTTTTCTCTTGATTATGTGTCACGAACCTTCCAAATGTCAAATCTGTACGATTAGCTAGCCCTCGCTGTTCTTTCTCTAGTTATCATGCAACGCTGATAGGTATTTATGATTGTTATTGCCCTTTTCAGCACCTCTACCTCTTTTGTCGTTTCGAGAGCACCTTCCTTCCTCATGCCCCATCGTATGTAGGCAAGACGAGTGGCAACAAGAGCACTCAACAGAAATATCTGCCATCAGAGCACAAGCATTTCGAGTATATGGAGGTGCTACATTGCGTACACGGCTACTAGATGTATTGGGACCAATAATGGGATCTGTTCTTCGGCAAAGATAGTGACTAAGGCTTGCAATGCTTGGTCGAATCCATTAGACCGTCGCCCGATGCTGTCCTGACAGCTCTCCCTGGCGCGAACCCTGTGATTGAGAAAGTGGAACATACAGAAAAAGGAGCTAGTTCTTGCTATCTTAGGCTTAAAAGGCTATATATAATTAATGCTCAAATGATCCTTGACGGGAAGGAAACGATACAGGTCCATCAGTCCTTTCCTTGTTCGGGATCAAGCAACAGTTTAATGCTCATTCTAAATCATTCAGCGTTGAAGGTCGGTCAAACGAACAGCAAGTGCCCAAAGATAAAGATGAAGATGCAGATCTAGAACCTGTAAACATCAAGCAATGACCAAATGCTAATCACGACCCAGTGGCTTCCATCTGCCGTTGTCGCCTAAACGCCGGCTACTCAACAAATTCTCTGAAAATGACAACAAGGAGGTGAGTGAACACAATCAGCGTGAGAGAACCAAGTATACTCTATTGCTGCTGTTGCTGCTGCGGCGGTAAGGACGGCGTCAAATTCCCATCAATCTTGGGTCTTTTGGGATCATTGGCATTGACTGCTGGAGCAGGCCCGCTGCCGCCAGAGACAGATGCATTCGTCACGTCACTTAAAGGCGGTCGTTTCCCATTAACATTGGGTGGTCCAAATCCGGCTCTGTTTGCAGCTGCGTTGCTTGCAGCAAGTTTTGGATCGAGATTTTGCCGAGTCAGTGGGCGGTATGATGAAGTTGTCTGACCCCGATTCATCATTGGACTGCCAATACCTCCAGGGGCGCCAATTTTTCGATGCATATCCGTTGAAGGATTGATGAAGTCGCGCGTATTGTTTGAAGCTGGTGAGGCTCCCGCAAGCATTGGCTTTGATATGGGGACACTCTTGCTGTGATCGACGCCTGCTGTCTTGCGGATCGAGGGACTTTCGGCATGGGGATCGAACTGGGGAGCATTCACGGCAGTATGTGGGTTGTCCCGCAACAAATCTACTGCTCGAGCTGAAAAGAATGAGGCAGACGGAACAGAGGGTGAACTGGCCGGGGGAGCTGTGTCTTGAGCTTTAGCGTCAAATTCTCGTTTGATAGGCATTTGCCCTGCAGCACTTGGCAAGCTTAAATCTTGGCTAGTCCTTGGTTGATCTGGGGGTGCCATTCTGCCGTTTTGAAAGTTCTGCTGTTGTCCTTGCGGGACAGGTTGCCTTTGTCCGACATGTTGGTTTTGCAGCGCAGGATTGTGTCTTTGATTGAGAGTGGGCGGAACGGAAGGTTGTCTGTTGTTGACTGTTTGGTTGAATGGCCTTTCTGGCCTAGAAGGCGTCACGACTGCTGGGTTTGGGCGGTGAAAGTTCCCCTGAGGGCCTGACTTAACAGGAGTCGGTGGTTGCGGTTTTGTCTGCGTTTCTGGTCCCAGCACTATCTCATCCGGGTTTCCAGAGGCCGTGACTCCAAAATCGGCCTCATCAAAAAGATCACCTAAATTCATTAGCCATGAGTGAACAGAAATAAATGTCGTCTGTTTTGCTTACTCCCAAACTCCCCATCACCATCAAATGCAGCAGCATCATTCGTACTGGTGCTTTTCACAGCGTTTGGTAGCCGAGGAGGAAGGTCGTCATCCTCTGGCACGGGGTTTGGTCGAATAGGCTCCTTCTTTATCGGTGCGTAGTCAGGATGCCGGTGAAGTTCGTCAACATCCCATCTCGCCTATAGCTTCGTCAGAACAAGACATTGTTCGAGTATCATGCGAAGTTAGCAACGTACAGGAGTGGCTTTCACTTTGGTAACTTTCGAAACATAATCTTTGTCGTAGATGCAGTTACCCAGAACGTTGCCAAAATTCCTCAATGTACGTTTAAGTGCATCAGTAGTTCCTTCTTTCTTGGCCTTTTCAAAAGCAGCAGCCTTTCCTTTGCAATTCTCAATATGACCGTAACCGATGTCCTGAGTTGATCCAGACCAGTTAGTAAGAACGACTGTGTGGAATACGCAAGCGGAACACATACTTCATGGTAAGTGCCATCCTTCAGTGTTACCCTCACAATGACGGATAGCCCCAAGCTGATCTTCCCAGTATTTTGACTTTCCTCAACCTGTCGGAGCATCCATTAGCCATTTCTCCCTACCGCCGCCCGCCCGCATTCTGATCCATTTTATCGAACATACAAAATCGATCTGAATATTCTGTATTGAACTCGACCAGCCGTTGAAGCCAAACACCTCATTGGCAAGATTGATGCATTTATCCGCGGATAGATAGTGCACCTTCTGTCCCGCGGCGCCAGGCCGCGAGGAGATGTATTCAGGGCCCAATTTCTTGTCCAGGCGTGCTTGGAGCGTAGCAATTTCCTGCGCCGTATACTCGCTGATCCGCCGAGGCGGTTCTTCAAATGGGTTGCCGGACATGTTTCCTGTCGAATTTGGCATCATGACGCATACTGGACCACTGCGGTGTTGGTCGCCAACACTGGTGTAAGTCGCGATTAGCTTTGGCCACGGGCATAACAATACGATTAGAGGATCGCGTATTAGCTTACGCGGGCATAATTCGGTGATATGAATAAGCTGTAAATTATCAGGTCATTGAAGCCCGCACGTATTTATGCTTTGTCGAGCAGGATGATGAGGCAATGAGGCTGGTGAGTATTCGATGATGAGAAGCACGAGGCCAATGAGACGCGTTGGGCAACACGGACATGTCGCGACATCACGTGATCATATACATGAATACAATTACTGGACCAGCGCTCAATTCACTGATTGGTAGTTGCGTTTCTGGAAAGCTATTACTTCAAATTTTACGCAGTAGACCTGGTTGAATAATAATTGTCTGCGTTAAATATCGTAATCAACCTGCAAAGTTGTTGCAGCCTGCCCCTCAGGCGGCCAGCCTCACCGAGTCCAATACCAGAAATCACTGGACTACGAGACTGGCACTAGGAACAAGTCCAAGGTCTTTTAGAGACTCGCCAAAGAACTCGGCATTGAACACTTTTCTAGGAAAGTTTTGCACGAAGCTTTGCACTTCAATGCCGTCCTCTTGTTGCAAGGCTGCGGCAACTTCGAACAAGGTAGAAGTGACGGGCATTGTTTTCATGACGTTCCCCTTGGGCGTCTGAAATCTCAGTCGAGTCTCAGTGTAAGCAGATGCGGGCTTGGAGGCAACAGGTCCGGAGGTTGTAGGCGCTTGAGGAGCTGGTTGTGCAGGAGGTGCCATGCCGGCACGCTCGGCTTTCTCCCGCTCAGCTCTCAGTCTCCGCTCTTCTTTATCCGCTTCGATCCTGGCTTTAATGCGACGCTTGGTTTCAATTTCGTCCAGTTTCTCTTGCTTCTTTTTGGCGGCTTCCTTCATCATCTGTTTCCTCTGCAGTTCTTCCTTAATGTCTTGCGATTCTTTGGTGCTCTTCCGTCGAATTTCCTGTACCGAAACTATCAGTAGGTGATGTTGAAGTGGGCCAAGAGAATGCCCTCACCTCATTCCTTTTCTGATCCACTTTATCCTGCTCAGCCTGTAACGCTCGCTTTGCAGCCAATTTCTGCCGGATCTCCTCCAATCTGGCCTTCTTCTCCTCCTCTGTTAAGGGTGCGATCTCTTCCGTTGACTCTGAGAAGTCCACATGTCCGGACTTAGATGCATGAAATTCTGCCTGTGCCTGGCTGCGGAACTTTTTCCCACATTCGTTACAAGCCAGACTGCGGGGTTCTTCGCCGGGTTGCAACGCGGGACCATCCTCAGACTCCCCTTCTTTCGACCCAGCAGACTTTATTTCCTCTAACGACTTGTCTTGGTTTTCCTCAAGCCACTCTAAAGCTCCTTGGACTGAAATAGATCAAAAAGAAACGAATCAGTATTCAATGCGAGGTGAAGGGTGAGGGGTGCCCTTACGTCCACCGCTTCTTGCCACCGCCAGCTGCGCTCTCTCTTTATCGAAGCCCATTTCAATGAGCTGATCTAAGTCTGAAGTAGCCATCTTCTAAGCCCAGGTGATGATGCTGAGGAAGGTGATGACCTGACGTGGGGGAACTGTCGAGAGTTTTGGAGCGGAAGTAGAGGCCGAGCCGTATAGACCCTGAAGCTTCTCTGATATGCTAGAAGAGAATGTCAAGGCTAGGTATGTTGGTCTAGCTGCTCAGGGGCTGGAGTAGGAATGGACAAGCTTGAAAAGGAGATTGTAACAGTAGTAGTTAAGATAGATGCCAGCTTACAAGTGACGTATAGCCCTTTGAGCCTAGGCGGCGGAGTGAGAGATGCGGGATGGTCCACTTTTACTAATTAATGGCGGAGTTCCAGGTACCAACCATCAGAGCTCCGGAAATCTTACATCTTAGTACTGTTCTAGCTGCATAATCGTCCTGGCAGATAAGTGATAAAGAACAAAGTTGGGCAAGAAGAAGCATGTACAGAGTAAGCAGAGCTGATTACTGAATAGACAACAGTTGACAGGGATAGCCAGCTGTCTGCCCCGATCCTGAAAATTGGTCTTTTATCGAAAGGTCCTTTTTCACTTCGCCGATCATTCCATACGGATTTCTGGTAGAGTACTCCGGGCCATTGGGTGATAACTCGAAGGAAGATATCTGGTTATTCTCGATGAAGTTGTTCCCATTTTATAAAGATTGAGTAAGACTGATGCAGTGAAAATCTGAGTCACTATGTCACATCAATACTCCCGAGGTTATAAGAGCACAAGCAGTCAGGATTTCTCTCTGCTCAGAGAAAGATTATTTCGCCGGTAGAAAGATGTCACATCCATACATGTGCCGTGTCCTCATTCCTGATAAACAAATCGGCTTCTTTTGGTTCATGATCGGAATGTTTCGAGGATCTCAGCCTGTGGATCCCCGAGGCCGTCGACAGAACCAGAACATATAGATCTAGAGCATCGACGTACGTATTCGTTCAGTGAGCCCAACCGCGAAAGTTACTGTCAGTTCGAAGGCTTAGTTCGTGCAGGGTCGACATTCTCTCATAGTTGAACGTATGGCGTCGATCGTAGAAGCACCTGTGATGACATCACCTGACTCGAGCCAAACGTCGCAGATTAATCAGCAGATAAGGACCAATGAGAGCGCAAAGCGGGTCTTGCGATATGGAAACGATCCCATTATTATTATTGCAATCAGCTACGTACCTTACTCCGTGATCACCTAACTGCTCCCTTGGCCGAAACAACCGCTTCACGATCTCCCCTACCTTATCCTACCTCCACATTACCGATTAACTTAACCCACCCATTTCCTTTTTTCTGATTTGGGTGTCTCCCCATATCTCATCTGCCTCCTTCACACATCTATTCGCCTTTATTCGTTACAGCGATGTCCATTCTTCTGGAACCGCCTGAGTTGGGGTTCAAACGTGGGTCTTTCCAACCCAGGATTTGTGGGAGACTGGAACATATACGCTGACTGAGTCATCAGGCCCTTTCGATCGCGAAGTTTGTGAGATTCTACACTTGAGCAATAGTAATTCAGAGCCCGTGGTCTTCAAGGTATTTAGCAAATGCGCCCTCAGGAAGAGTAGCCTACCATGATCGCACACTAACAAGCCTGTGTGCGTTAGGTCAAAACAACCGCTCCGAAACAGTTCGTACCTCCTCTAAAATACTAGCTTTGCACGTCAGCCTCGAGTATTGACTGACAGTCAACCAGCTACTGCGTTCGCCCTAATTCAGGACGGATAGAACCTGGCAAGAATGTGGATGTCCATGGTTGGTTCATACCTTGAAGTTAGTGCTCAGCCCTTGGACGGGAGTGCTGATCAGTCGAACAGTGTTACTTCAGGCGATGAAGGAAGAGCCTGCGCCTGATGCCAAATGCAAGGACAAGTTCCTGGTCCAGACCGTCGCCGTGACTGGTGACATGGAGTTCTCCAATGTTTCTTCAATTGTTCGTCTGTCCCTTGCTGCAAGTTGCCTGCTATACTTTCTCTAATAGCTATCTAGTTCGAGAAAGCTTCAAAATCCTCCATCCAGGAGCGCAAGATCCGTGTGAACTGGCTGCCTGCAGAGTCCTCAAACGTTGAGCAGGGGAAGGAGACAAATGGAATTGTGCGCCCCCTTGTCGCATATCAGATATGAAGTCCTAGACCACTCGTGACTGACTACCAATCCCAGAGTGCACCCGAAGAAGAACCCCCTTCCTATACGTCACCAGGCGGGAACTATCAAACTCCTGCAGTTGGGGCTTCCACCAAAATTTCCAATGACACGTCACCTATCCCACCGCCAGATTTCAGCGAGAAGCCCAAGCGGGATGCGTTCGCCCAACAATCGAATGAGACTTCAGCCATGTCTGTCAAATCAAACACATCGGGTATCCCAGCTTCAGCCGATGAGCTGAAGACTCAACTTTCGGAGGCTAATGCTCATATTCAAAAACTCAAAGAGAGACTTGCGGACCAGGGATTGAGACAGAGGAAAATTGGGGGCGAGAACGAGAAGGCAGCGCCTACGATGCAACAACAGCAGGTCCAACCCGTCGACGCAGGTGTGCCAGTGCAAATCGTGGCCGGGCTTTGCTTGCTAAGTTTCTTGATCGCGTACTTCTTTTTCTAGACCGATTTTCGCCTTCTCCAGCCCCTTTCTGTCCGGACTTTTCTTTTCTATGTTTCTATTACTTACAGACCCACTGTATTCTGTTGTGAAGAGCCCTGTCTCTCTAAGTTTCTTCCAAGGCGTCGGCTTGCACTTGTATGCCTTTCATCCTTTACAGCTTTCCTTTTCCCATTTCTTGTCTCCGCATTCCTTTTGAAAGTATGATTTCCTAGTTACCCTTATGATACGAATCCAGCAAATGGCAGCGATTTCTGTCCGTACCTTGCGGAAGAGCATGGGATTTGTCTATCAAATACCACGCGCAACTTTCGCTTGTGTCGTACGAATTTCCTTTAAACCTCGCCTGGCTTTGCCGTATGACTATCTTTCATTCTTCGTCTCGGTCTTCCTGTTCCTGGCACCCAGTTGCCAACTGTTTGCAAGCCATTGTATTTTCTTAGACGATTCTCGACACATTCATAACCAGGCTGTATCGGGTACATTATGATGACGTTACTGAAATGTCAATGAATGTTTCTTGAAAAACTTCTATATTCTAGATACCTAGCTTGTCAGTTACTCAGTATTTACTAGTCCGCCTCGTAATCTATGTAAGACAGTTGTCGTTCTGAATGTTGGAATAACTGGACCCTGAATAGATGTACACTTTTGTTCCGAAGTTGTTGGCAAATCATGTGGCTCCAGTCCACCCTTTCATGTCAGACAGGTGCTTCAGAAATCAATTCTGAATTTCACTTTCCTTCCAGCCATCCCCTTCGTCTGTTCCGGCCGCAGTAGCGGATATCCCCTCCCCCGCTCGACCATTGCCGCCTCCACCAACGAGACGACCGCCCTGCGCTCTCTTGACACGGCACCACATGCCCACATTCTTATCCAGAATGAAAGTCCAGATGACCCAGACCCAGCTGTGGTGGCAGGGGAGCGGCTCGTAGAACTCTCGCGCGATGCGGTGAAGCTCATGAAGCCTCGTCCACGGGATGGCCGGGAAATCGTGGTGCTCGTTATGCAAGCCGACATTGTAGGTCAGGATGTTAAGGGGCCCATAGTAGGAGTATGTCTCTGGAGGCGGAAGGGAGTCTAGAGGGTGCGGTTGCTGCTTTTGCTTGCTGGCTCCGTCGTTCGCCCGCATTTTCTTCTGCTCTTCAATACTTTCTGTGCAGCCGCTCTCGACCCGGGAGAAGAAGTAGTGCTCTGCAATAAAGTGGCCGGCACAGGGGTGCAGAGAGCCGGCGAGGAAGGAGCTGAGGATTAGGTAGAGTATTGGCTGGAGGGAGCCGCCGCAGAACTTGGTGAGGGCATAGTCGAAGGAGAGCTGAGTGATGAGGTTAAGTAGGTGGATGTAGGTAAACGGAGGACTGTAGATGAACATGGGGCGGACGGCGTAGAACAATATCTGGAAGGTGCAAAAGAATGCCTTGCCCAGGAGAGAGTCTAGGAAGAAAGCTTCAACGGCGGTAGGCAGGTCGGTGTCGAGACCTGCGACGCCGAGAGATTTGTGATGTGTGAGGTGGTACGGCTGTAGGGAAGGATAGACAAAAGGTCAGCAGGTGGGCGTTTCTTTTACACAATTGCTCCGTGTATCAGTGTCACAGTTTGGAGTTTCAATAACAACATACCCGGAAGGCGGCACTGTATGGCAGCCCGATTGGAAGATTGGCGAAGATGGCCAACAACCGATTAGCCATTGCTGAACGAAAGGCCAAATTATGCGAGATCTCATGGATCGCAAGGAATAGATTCTGGTTTGCAGTTGCCCCAATTATATACGCCGTTGCCCAGAATCGCCATGAAAAGAATGATGTATCGCGAAGGAGATATGCGCAGCAAATCTGAAGGGTAACAACACCCAGAACGACATATTTAGTGAGAGGCTCAGGCCCGCAGAGCTTGGTTACCTAGAAATTTCGACAGACAGTTAGCCAGGTGATATTGTTTAGCAAAGAGTACACCTACCTCTGGATGAGCCTTGATGATCGCCTGCCGCCTCGACCGATGAGGCTCCTCAGTATAGGTCCAGAAGAATTGATCTTCGACTGCCGACTGCTCCGGAGGTGGAATTCTCGCCGATGGTTGACTATCCGATGAGGACTTATCGCCCTGGCTCGTTGCGGCGGACACGCGGAGGTGAGGCGCAGAGGCAGTTGCAACGATGGAGGGCATGGTGGTGTAAGGGAATTGCAGGACTTGTAACGGCTTAGCCCATGGATGCAACAGTCAAGAAAGAATGGACTGAGAAATGAAAGAAGAAGATATGGGTCAATCGACGTTGAGCCTTGACGATCAGACAACAATAATAATTGAAGACCATCAGACTCGGAGCGGATAGTTTCCACGTGGGGCTACAGCGGCACATGATATGATTAAGGGACAAGTCTAATTTTATAACCTCTAGGACAGGGCAGCTATGGCCCTGGATA